CACTGTGAAGCCTGCACCTTCCTGTTTTTCTAGGTTCTAACTTTATAGAACATAAGTTTTCATTTTTCTTTTCTATCTTTTTACTATGAATAGTGGCCCAAAGTCTAAACCCTTTCTATGACACTCTCTGTGTTTTGTTCTTCCTCTTAGACCTGCTTCCTTTTTTCTGTGAAATAACCTGCTGCTGCTCATGGCTGTACATGAGTGGGTTTTATTTTTGACTCAAAATCAGAAAGGCGTGCTATTATCTTTTTCCTTTTGTTCATCTTCCTCCTTCTACCAGTTATCTAGATTTACAAAGTACATGCTTGACTGTTTGTCTCTGAAATGTTCATGAAATCGTCCACAAACTTCCTTCAGAATCTATTTCCAAATTCTTTTCTTAACACTACTAAGAACTCCACAAAGAGCTTTTATTTTCTAAAGTACACAAGTATCCTTATGACAGCTTAACAATGTGTCTTTGAGTAAAACAAAAGTAGGATATTCCTTTCTGGAGCCTATTCCTGCTCCATGAGGTTCTGGCCATGCGCAGAGTTCCAGCCATGGATTCCCTTTTATGCAGTGGAACTCAAATCCACGCAAAAGCAGCTTGCTACCACTTTTACTGTAGGACCACGATTGCCGCAGATGTTCCACTTTTCCTTTTGCCTGAAACTTCAAAAGAAATCACAACAGTTCTAGTGAGTTTTCTCTCTACTTTGAGTGGAAAAATAAAAGGACATTGCTTTAGAGAGCAAGGGGTTTGAGTCCTTATGTGAACTTTATGGCACATGAGCTAGTTTCTTCCCACTGCATTTTGCAACATTGTTCTCATCTTTGTGGAATAGTATTAAGGAACACACGAGTGAACAAAATTTCAGATTTGTCGAAGTTATAATCTGTCCACACCCTTTGTGGAAAATGTATTCTTTCCTACACGTTTCGCTTTGTATTTTTATACAAGAAGGCCATGGATGGGGTAATTTGTAAGAAGAAAATATTCATTCTTCACAGTTCTGGATGCTGGGAAACCAAAAAATAAAGATTTTGGAATTTAGTGAGATTTCTTGTTGAATCCTTGTTACCAGATGTGTTGGATACTTTTATGCCAACTTGACACAAGCTAAAGTTATCTGAAATAAGGGAACCTTAATTGAGAAAAATCTTCCCTTTAGATCCAGCTGTAAGGCATTTTCATAACTAGTGATTGATGGGGGAGGTCCCAGCCTCTTTAAGGTGCTGCAATCTTTGGGCTGTTGGTCTTGGGTTCTACAAAAACAAAAAAAAACAAAAAACAGGCTAAGCAAAACATGAAGAACAAGCCAGTAAGCAGCACTCCTCCATAGCTTCTGCATCAGCTCCAGCTTTTAGGTTCCTGTCCTGTATGAGTTCCTGTTCTGACTTCCTTCAGTCATTAACAGTAATATGGAAGTGTAAGCCAAATAAAAATTTTCTTCCACTACTTGATTTTGGTCATGGTTTGATGTGGGATTCCCCTCTGTATGCTATGAATACTTTTGGTTAATAAAGATGCCGTTTGGGGCCTTTTGCAGCGCAGATTAGGGCAAGGTAGGAATTCCAACCACATAGAGGAGGAGAGAGTAAGCAGAGTCAAAAAGAAGCTGCTGCAGAAGACAGATGCCCTCACCAGAGCCCACCTGAACTTTGCCAGTAGACCACAACCTTGTGGTGACGCACAGATTAATGGAGATGGGTTAGTTTAGGATATAAGCGCTAGTTAGAAATACGCTTAAGCTATTGGCCAAACAGTATTATTGCAAATAATATAGTTTCTGTGTGATTATATTGGGGCTGGGCAGCCAGAAATGAGCAAGTAGCTTTCAACTACAATGGTGTTTCATCACAGCAATGGAAACTCTAAGACACCGGAGCTTAGTGTGTTCAGATTCTTGACATTCTGTTCAAGGAATTGAAATTTAAGCCTATCCAGATTTCAAATTATGTAGCAAACTCTATTTAAAACTAAGAGGTATTGCAGGTTAGGAAGGAATATGAAGTCAAGAGGAACAACAGGGCATATAAATGAAGATACTCAAGAATAACAGCTATTTTCTGAGAATTACTGCTATGGACTTGAAGAGAGGTAGAAGATTGGTTGTCCAAGGGACATAGCACAGGTGATTCTTTATTTTAATTGATAGGTTTGGATTCAATAGGATTTTGTTCACTGCAAAGGTATCTTTTCATGATACATCTAATATAAATTGCATGCATGCTCAATTATATGTAGGCCATAAGATGGTAAATAGGAAATAGTTTGTCTCATTGCACATGCACCAAAACCAGTCTAGGCTGGATTAGACCTTCATTTTTAGTATCAGGACATGTTCTGGGATATGTATCAATAAAGAATTGCTAGGAGAGTGATTTATTTTCATTATTTGAAATACTTATGTCTGAAGCCTGATACACTTGAGGGTTCTGGGTTGCCAATTGGTTTATAGGTGCATTGTTGATAGAGGGGTTTGTTTTCATAGCATGTGAAGGTAAGGCTCAGAAGCTGCCAGTGTATTCTTAGAAGAGGGGCGGGTGTAAAATCCAAGTCAAGTGGAGTCCCTATGCTTGATAATGCAATCCTCCTGTCGTAGTAGTACAAAAAAACAACAACCAGGAAATCATACCCAAAGACCATTTTTGTAGTAGTATCAATTCATTTATGAGACCTGATAAAGTCTTCATGATCTAAACATGACCCACTAATCTCGACCACTTTCCAGCATCACTGGACTGGAGTCATTTATTACACAAACTTCCAAGGAAACAGCAACATTTATCTTCAGCTCTTATTTCTTTATAGCTGCTGTTTCCACCCTTCTTTGCTCCTTTCCTCCCTGTTAGGTTATTGCCCAGATTATTGATATTGGTTATAAAAACAGGATTGAGAATCATTTAGAAGGTAATACTTTAGGCATATTTGGAGGGAGTTTTTATTTTGTAAATCAGCTGAAATGTGGCAGCTCTCTACTGGCAAAGGGTGTGGATGGAATATGAGAATAGAAAGAGAGGTTCCTAACAGCACATATCGTTCCCCACTTCCTGCTGCAGCTAGGCTGTGATCAGCCAGCTCACCCTCCTCTACACTTAAACTGTGAGCAAACCCATACCTTCCTTTTTCTCAGTTGTTTTTGCTAGGTGTGTTGTCATAGCAATCAGAAAGGTAACCAACACCACAGGGAGCCTTCCTAAAGGCTCATAACTACTCTCTTAATTCTTTGTCTTTGCTTTGTTCTAGGGCGCGTTCCTCCTGTTCTCAAAACTTCCCTGACCTTATTTCACCCTAGATCTGGAAGTGACATTTTCTTACTGCTGCCAACAACAGAATGTTCTCTTATCATCCACTTCTGGAAATTCTTGTTTCCAATGATTAAATTCTGCAATACACTCACATTTCCTCAGGAAAAAGCGGAGAAAGGACTGCACTCTTCCTGAGGACACTGGTCTTGACAATTGCATTCTGAGCTGGATTTCAACCTCTACCTGCTTTTTATTGAGAGTTTGACACACCTTTTATGAGCAAGGCTTTGTCCTTTAAATATTACACCCAAAGCATAAATATTTCATGAAACATATTTACTCCACCCTGATCTCCAGACCCAGCTATTTATTTATTTTTTTGTTTTGCTTTGACATTCTGAGCAAAGTTTCCCTTCCCCCCTCTTCTCCCAACCCTTTCCCCACCTTCATTCTCATTCACTCCTCTCCCATTTCTCTTCAGAAAAGGGCAGGCCTCCCATGAATATCAGCCAGCCAGGGTATATGAAGTCACAGTGAGACAAGGCACCTCTTGTGCTATTAAAACTGAGTGAGGCAACCTGGTAGAAGGAAAAGGTCTAAAAAACAAGCAACAGTCAGAGACAGCCCATGCTTCCACTGTTAGGAATCCCAAAAGAAGACTAAGTTACATAATTTCAGCTTAGATGCAGAGGGTCGTAGTTAGTCCCATGAAGACTCTCTGGTCATTGGTTCAGCCTCTATGAGCCTGGGTTAGTTAACTTTGTGGGTTTTCTCTAGGTGTCCTTGACCCCTCTGGCTCCTACAATCCTTCTTCTTCCTTCACAGGATTCCCTGGGTTTTGTCTAATGTTTGGATGTGGGTCTCTGCATCAGATATTTCCATCAGTTGCTGAGCAAAGTCTCTCATATGACCATTAGGCTAGGCACAAATCTATTAGTATAGCAGAGTATCATTAGGAATCACTTCATTGACATTTCTTCCCCCAATCATGTTTAGTTCCTTCCTAGGTCTCTGGGCTTTCTCACCTCTGTGTTCTGGCCCTGCAAGCAGTGTCGGGGTGAACTCCTTCTTAAGGAATGGGTCTCAAGCTGGACCAGTTATTGGTTAACCACTCCCACAATTTCTGTTTCACCTTTACCCCAACGTATCTTGCAAGCAAGAAAAATTGTAGGTTGAAGGTCTTTACCTGGGTTGGTGTCTCAATCCTTCCACTGGAAGTCTTGCCTGGTTACAGGAGAAAGCCAATTCTGCCTTCATATACTCCATTGATAAGCGTCTTAGCTAGGGTCACCCTTATAGATTATTGAGAGTGTCCACTGCACTAAGTGTCTTATATAGGGTGTCTATTGTTGTGAAGAGACACCATGGCCATGGAAACCCGTATAAAGGAAAATATTTAATTGGGGTGGCTTACAGTTTCAGAGGTTTGGTCCAGTATCCTCATGGCACAACATGGCAGCATGGTGCTGGAGGAGGAGCTGAGGTTTCCACATCTTGATCAAAAGGCAACAGGAAGTGAATTGTGTGTTGCATTGACTATAGCTCGAGCAAAGGACACCTCCAAGTCATTCCCGCGAAGGCACGCTTCCTAGTACAAGGCCACTCCTACTCCAACAAAGCTATACTTCCTAATAGTGTCACTGCTTTTGGGGGTCATTTTCTTTAAAACCACCAGAGATGTCTCCCAATTCCAAATGTCCCTCCCTCTATCCTTCCCCCCACCTGGACATCTGCCCAGTGGATGCTGCACTATACCACAAGCATATTTGTGCCACAGCTTTATTTATACTAGCAGATACTGAAATAACCAAGATGTCCCTCAACCAAAGAGTGGTACAGTTACACAGTAGAGTGTTACCCAGCTGTTAAAAACAATGACATCATGAAAGTTTTGGCAAATGGATGGAACCAGAAAAGATCATCCTGAATAAGGTAACCTAGATGCAGAAAGACAAACATGGTATGTAGTCACTTTTAAGTAGATAATCATAAAGCAAAGGATAGCCATTCTATAATCTACAGACTCAGAGAAGCCAAGTATCAAGGAAAGCTCAAGGGCAGAAAACACAAATTTCACTGTGGAGGGGAAATAGAATAGACATCCTTTTGTGGATGGGGACTGAGGAGAGGAATGAACAGGAATAATAAAGTTTTTAAAGCCAGTAACAAATGGAAGAAATTGCAGAAGTACTTCATTCAGAGTAAAAGGCTTTCCTTCTTTTCAACGTATAAGCATTACAAAATCAAATTATATAATTAAAATACAAAAAAATGGAGAAAGGATAAAATTAAAATCACCATTTCTTAGAGCAAAGAATGGACTTTTATCTGTTACACATATGATCTTTATCTGTAGTTGGAACTAGATCTTATCTCTTTAAGCATCAGAGGTGTCCGAATCTCCACAGTGAAAATTCATGAAGTTTCATAGTTGAAGCAGGAGAGAGTGGATGCTTCTCATTTCTCAGCCTTGATGACCTTGAAGAAGAAAGTGATGAGGTCAGATTGGTTTTGATGGAGCTGGCCACACCCTCCCCCCTTTACTCGCACTGTCTTGTCTCTATGAGCTACCTCTAGTTTCTCACATTGTCAGCTTCTTTAAATGATTTTTCTGTCCCTGCGGTCAGATTTTGATCTTTGCTTGAGACTACACCATGAGTTCTTTACTCCTACCCAGTATGAGTGGAGGTGGGAAAGCATGTGATATCATGGAGCATCAGAAGAGAAGGGGGCGCAACACCTAATGGCAAGGGTTGCATGGAGCGATCTCACTGGGCAGGAGAACAGGAAGACTGTGCAAAATGTGTGCCTGGTGCTGCAGCTGTGAGGAGGGTTGAGAATACTGACAATGGTCCTGAGAACTGGGGACTCTAATAACATTACTGTACGACTCAGGAGGTCAGCTCCTATATTTCATTTATTTCTACTACAATCCTAGACTGGCTTTACTATACAAAGAATCCTGCTGGGATGCGTACATCAGAGGGACCAGAGCATGAATTCTGGTTTCTTTGTGGTATACTTTGCTCCAGGTGTCCTTGTAAGAATATGTGTGCTGTGAGTTCTGCTGATGAACCTCAGTGATGGACACAATTTCTCTGGTGTAGATTAAGATCATAGTTTCTTCATGTCATTAGTCAATTTGAAAAACCACAGAGCCAGCATGTGATACATATCTCTTAATCAAAGTCACATACTTATTGGATAATCTCTCTGTTTTAATAAATTCAATATTTTCATCAACTTAGGACAAAATAGCTAGTTGTTTTGGAACTGCGCTGACTTAGAACTCATTGTGGGGACCAGGCTAGCCTCCAACTCGCAGAGACCCATCCATCTACCTCAGTCTCCTGAGTGATGGAATTAAAAGTGTGAGTCACCATGCCCTATCAATAACATAATGGCTTTTGAGAATCTTTCTGAATTTCCATCATCTTCTATGATTAAAATGATCATAATTTAAAGGACAGAAAGGGAGGTTTACATATATTAACTGAAAACTTTCTTCCTTCCATCTGTTGAATTAACTATGCAATCCCTTCAGTGGTTTTACTATAATATTAAAAACATGATTCCTGGGAAGGAGGATGTTCCCCTAGAGTACACACCTTCATGTTACTGTGCCTCGTAGATCACAGTTGCACTTTACCCTCATTTGATGTTAATTCAAAACACAAGAGTCTAAGTTTATCTCCTGGATTCCATTCAACACTGGTCAGTCGTCCATAGACCACCACATCCATCATCCCTGTTTTATCTTGGATTTCATAGCAAATGCAGTCATTTTTCTTATTTCTCTGTAAAAGAAAGTAATACCCATCTTCTGAGAAATGGCCAGACACTGTTAAGCACTGTTAAGTCTATGAGAAGTAAAGGGTGTTGGCAGAATCTTGGTTCAGGCAGGAAAAATGGAAGCTGTCAGTTGAGTCCTGGGGGGCAAAACAGCTTCAGATATTTTGTTGCCAATCCTGATATGTAAACCTTTTTTTTAAGGTTTAATATTGACTGTGGTGGCTTATCTTGGCTGTCAACATGATCATATCTGGAGTCAATAAATACTCAAGCACTTGGGTACATAAATAGGGGATTATTCTCGATTGGATCATTTGAGGTGGAGAGACTGATCCTAATTCCAGATCACTTGAGGTAAGGAGACCCATTTTTAAATCTGGGCCACACCTGATGAAGGCATAAAGAAGAGGACCCAGAGGAGAGAAGCTTTTGCCTTTGATCTGCTTACCCCCACTCTCACGGGCAACTTCAACAACTCTGCTGTTGAGACATTCCTTTGCTGTTACTATTCCTAACAGGTAGAAAGAAAGAATCCAGTTTTCCCAATTTGGTGCATTCTGGGCATAAGAATATACTTTGGGTTTTATTCTGGTTGTTATAACCTGCACCCTACCTTAGGCGGTCAACTCTCCTTTACCACCAAATTCTCAATAATTTGGAGGTGCGGAACTCAAGGAAAAAAAATCTTAATGATACACGTGTTAGTGTAAATGTCGATGAATAGTAAAAGAATAGATGGTATTGCTTGAAAAATGTCAGAGTCTCTTGGTGAATCTCTTTCTAAAACAGTTTTCATCATGGTACCCTGAGAAGTGTATTGAGACTGCTTTTCACACTTAAAGACAGGGAACCCTAGTTCCCAACACTGATCAAGAAGGCCTTTAATTTTGGCATAAAGTAAGTTAACCATTATCATCTGGCAAGGTAAGGCTGAAAATCGGAGATTGCATAAAACATTTTACAGAATAATGCGGTGGCTTACCTTATTTACCATAAACACCCCATTCACAAATATTCCTCTTCTTTTTGAGCAAAGATAATTGATTTTAGGTGTTGCGTTGGCTCTTTGTCTCAGGGTAGTTGGGATCTTCATTGATTGGTTACCATTTACCTCTGACACACTGGTGGCACTGCATATATTTATGAATCCGTTGCGACCAACGTAATTTGAGATGATAATGACCTTGTTGGGAATGAACTTCTCCTTCAGGACAATATCAAACACCTTCACTCTGAAGAATTCAGTCTCAGTGGCCACTGTGGCATGGAACATCCTTTTCCCTTCTCTCAGGTCGTATACGAATGGTTCTGTTGCTTTTAACACCATCACTTTTTTGGGACCTCGGTGGTGACCATTTTCCTCAGAAGGTTGCTCAGGTACAGTCTTCAGTCTTGGTTTCTGCATAGAATGTATACAGCAAAAAATGGCACAGACAGCTGATTGGGTAGAACAAAAGATAAATCTTAACAATAGCTGGCATGGTATCACTTAGTTCATGGAGATATAAGTATAAGTAATAATGGCAGCTTGTACTAATCGTATGTAGTAGATAAGGGGGTTTTATGAGCATCTCTCTAGTCTTGGCAAATGAAGCCAAGGTACCCTAAATAGTAACTCACAATATGATAGCAACAGCTGAGAAAAAGTGCACAGGACATAAGGAGCAACTATCATACACTTCCTTTAGAAATGAAGGAAGTTTAGTTACAGGTGTCTTTAAGATTCTCTGCTGGTCCAGAAAAGACTAGAAACAGTTGAAAAATCATACCCACACAGGATTATCTTTATAAACTATCCATGGATTGTTTCAGATAATAAAATCATTTACATAGAAATTTGTTGCTTGATTGTCAGTTCAACATATATTAAATATTACGTTAAATATTTTAAAAACTGTTTTCTTCCCATGTGTATGAATGCAAGAATGTTTGCATGTGTGTGAGCCGAGGAGAGTGGAAGACACCCTGCGGTGCCAGTCTTTGCTTTACACCTGTCTGAGACAGGTTTTTTCCTGGTCACAACTGATTTTACTTGTTAGTTTTTGTTGACTTGACACAAAGTAGAATTACCAGAAAGAGGGAATTGAGAAATTTTCTCCATTAGATTGCCTCTGGAGCCTTTTGTAGGACAATTTTTTTTTTGTTGTTGTTATTGTTAATGATTGATGAGGGAAGGCCCAGCTCTCTGTGGGTGGTGCCACTTCAGGCAGATGTTCTTGTATTATATGGGAAAACAAGCTGAGCAAGTCAGGAAGAACAAGTTAGTAAGCAGTGTTCTTTCATGGTCTCTTCTCAAGTCCTTCCTTCGGGTTCCCACCTTGAGTTCCTGACTTGGCTTCCCTCAAGGATGGAAGCTTCAGTCAAAATGCTCCCTTTCCTTCTCAAGTTGCTTTCATTCAGAATGTTTCATCCCAGCAACAGAAAGAGGGTTAGGATAGGGATGAATGAGCTACTTGAAAGTTGTAGCAATCTCCATCTTTATATTGTGAAAACAGAAAATTACCTTGGCTGGTATTGCTGGAAACACTCCAGGGGCCTGGGCACTGCTGGATGCTGAGGTTAGAGTCACTTGGAGGGTTTGAACCCCGCAAGATGATGTTTCTGGAGATACTTGAGTGGCTTGGTCCCTCTTAGAAGCAGTTGCTGGAGCTAATTGGGAAGCCTGGACAATATGGGAGGAATGGATGGCACCAGAGGGGTCAGGAGACTGTTAGAGGCTATTGCTGCAGATACCTAAGGAGTCTGCCAAACATGTGAGATGGTTTGAAAGGCCCCTGAGACATTTGCAACAGTTCAGTATTTCTGGAGGCATCCATTTAAAGTCTTTTAACTGACATCTAGCAACTCTAGTTATATTAAACTACTGCATTTAGTCTATTGAGATCAAAATGATTTCAAATGGTATACCCTCTCAAGAAAAAAGATTTATTTTAGCTGAGGCTTAGACATAAGCATTTGATAATATAGTGAGTGTTTAATCATATGACAGAACTGTCATCTTAATATTTTGTGGCTTTGTATCCCCTTCTCTCAGTGATCAACTTCTTTTTCTCTTGATAACCATTGATTTTCTCTTTCCCTTTTTCTGTTGGAAACTATACCCCAAGTTTTGTGCATGCTAAGCTGTTCTCTCCTTTCCTATTGAGCTTTATTCTGAACCCACAGTCATGGGGTTTTCAGTGTTAAATGAAGCACAGTAACTTTAACACCAAGAGAAACAACATATCATCTTCGAGAACAACATCCTCTGGACAGCAAATCAGGTCAAATTGCCTCATACAGGAACAAGCATTTCATTTACGTCACTTTTCTGTACATCTCTGTGGTGTAAGAAGAGCAGGTCTACATTTAGAAAGCCTGAGCTGAGGTTTGACATCATTTCAGAGGCTTTGAAATGCTGTGTCCTTTGACTGACCACTATTTCAGCAAGAAGAACAGTGATTTAACCTGCTTTATATTCCTTTACTGTGCCTGTTTGGGTGGATGTACCACTGAGGCCATGTGGAGGTCAGAAGACATTTCATGGGGCTTAGCTCTCTTGCTCTAACATGTGGGGTCTGGGAATTTAACACAAGCCATCAGTCAGACAGTAAGCACCTTTCCATGCTGAGCCATCTCATTTGCCTGTGATACGATTTTTTTTATTCCCATCACAGAGAATTACGTGATAGGAGTTAAAGAATGCAGTAGTCCTGACCAGTAAGCCTCAAACTGGTTACTCTCAACCTCCATTTTTACTAGATCCTATGATGAGATAGACAAAGAAATGTCCACACAATGGTAAAAAGGGGAGCAACCTTGGCAGATTTTCCTCTGGAAGCTTAGCCAACATACCTGTGAGTTCCGTGTACTCCTGCCTGATCCTGGTTTTGAATCTTCATGTATGGTGGATGTAGGTTGAGAAGTACTGGGTTCATCTCGCCTGTGTCTTTTTGCCTCCATTATGCTTTTCTCTGTCTGTTTCCTTTTAGCTGAAGCAGGAGAGAACACGCAGTAAACTCAGGGATGCTGGTCTGCGACAGCTGGAGTTCACGCAGTACTGTTTGCTCTCCGCTCCTGCTTAGCTTACTGTGCTTGCTTCCTACCTCTGCTTTGGAAGCTTGAAGGGGCCCCAGGGTGCCCCCACAGGACTGTCTCAGGTCCGGTTCTCTCTAGGTGCAATGGACACAATCTTTCCATCCTGGGGACTCCTGCGTCCATCTGCCAAGTCCTACCCCAACCCTCTTATCCTACAGTCTGTTTTTAACTAATTTAAAGTTTAGGTCGGGGGAGATGGTTCGTTGGGTAAAGCCCTTGCCCTTCAAGCATGGAGACCCAAATTCAGCCGTCTGGTGGCAACTTAGAATCCCAGGCTGAGTGGACTGATGTAGACATATTCTAGCTTGTCATTTAGCTGACAATGAGAGCCTTGTGTTCAATAAGAGACCCTTCCTTAAAAACAGGATAGAGAGCAAAGACTCAGTGTTGACCTCTGGCCTCTAAATGCTTGTGTAATGATAATCTCTGACAAACCATCTTCTGTAGGCGATCACTCTGTATTAGAGAACCATTGAAAGAAATGATCTGATTTGTAGCATGACAAAATGTTTATATTTGCTTTGACTTTCTACGTTTTGTTTCTGTTTGGTTTTATCTATTAATTTGTTGTTTGTGTTTTTGTTTTGATACAGAGTCTAGCTATACAGACCAGACTGGTCTTAAACTCACTATCTTCCTGTTTCAGCCTCCTGATCACTAGGATCATAAATGGGAGTCTCTAAGCAAAAATTAGTCATTTCTTTTTCTTTCTTTTTTTTTCCTTTTAAGCCTGATGACTTTATAAAATAGAACTACTTCCTATCTCTGGGAGGTAGACATTCACTTAATTATTGAGTATGTTTTTATTTGTTTGTTTTGTTTATTTTCTTTTTTGAATAGATAATGTTGAGTATCTTAATGGAGCATTAGTACTAATTGATTTAAATATTTTTTAAAAATATTCCTATCTTTATTTTATAGTTTTCTCATCTTTATACAGTAGTAGAAGGTCTTGTCTCTTTCAAGACTCTGCATTTTTATTTACCCTAATGCCCTCAAAGATATTCAACCCCCCCAAACAGAATTCTTTGTCAGAATGAAGTTTTATAAGTTATTAATATGTTTGTCATCTGAGATGTTGTCATACTATAGACCCTGAGTCACACACTGTGAAAGACCATGTCAGTTATGATCACTACATAAAGGTAGCATGCTGTTGGAGAAGTTGAAGAAAGGATGGGCATCCAGGATACTCCCATATTACCTTTTGCCTTCTTTCTTTTGAGTTCATCAGCAAGGTCTTCAAGTTCTGGAATCTCTTTGTACAGTTCTATCAGTATGTCTATTCCAGCATCGTTTGGGAACTTGTCCTCCATCAAGTCAGCAATCTTAACTCTGTCATAACCATACTGCGCTTTTCTATTTAGTTTTAGTTCTTTGCTCAACAAGGACTTAACTGTTTTAAAATCATCGTCACTGATACCCTTTAGTCCCGACAGCAGAACAATTTTCTTGTAGTCATTCACCATTTCTCAAACTGCGGGTGAACCTAAATGAGAAGAAGAGTATACAGAATTACACACATTCACAGACAGTTTCAAAGCCAAGATACTCCTAGGTGAGGGAATGACCAGTGCCACAGTGGCCATAGTTGCATTTATGAAAAATAGAGTTAATTGCCAGATGTACCACTTTGCAAAATGAGTGTCGATCTAATCTGATGAAAACAAGTCTAGAAAATTCTTCCCTGTTAATAACAGTTTCTGACCCAGGTTTGCCTTGGTTTTTGATGGATGAAAGTGGAAATAAAAAATTGCCACAGCATTTAGAGTATGGGTTATGAGTATTGTCTTAGGGTTTCTGTTGCTGTGAAGAGACACTATGACCATGGCAACTCTTATAAAGGAAGCCATTTAATTGGGGCTTGCTTAAAGTTTCAGAGGTTCATCCATCATCATAGTGAGGATCATGGCAGCATTCGGGAAGGCATAGTGCTAGAGAAACGGCGGAAAGTTCTGCATCTTGATCCACAGGCATCAGGAAAACACAGCCACTGTACCTGGTTGCTTGGTCTTTTGAAACCTCAAAGCCTACCCCTAGTGACACAACAAGGCCCTACATCTCTTCCAACAAGGCCACACCTTCTAATCCTGGTGACCAGACATCCAAATCTATGAGCCTATGGGGACCATTCTCATTTACACCACCAGAAGTGCTGAAATTCTAAATCTCCTTTCTAATATTCACTGATGTTGTAACCTATCTCTGGATATCTGCCAGTGGGTTCCTGACTCTTCTCACACTCTTGGCTGAAGTGCCTTATGTGAAAAGGGGCTGCATCTTCTTAACTGTATGCATGAATATTGGTCGGCTACAACACAATGGCCCTGACACTTGATCACTTGGCTCTAAACATCTCTCACTGGCATTATGTTTCTCATGGTGTTGAATGCTGGTCTCAAGGTCCTCTGTGCCCATATGACTGTTACTGTGCTGAACATATACATACTTTCTAGAGTCAGGCCAGAGAATTTATTGAGTAAGATTATATCAATAGTTGCTTGTTTCTCTTCACTTAGGTTTTGACATCAAGAGTCAGATTTATTTGTTCATTGAGTCTGTTTTCTGCTTATAAGCCATGATTATGTTCAGTTTAAATCTTCCAACAGTTTCTCAATTTGTTAAATAACAAAAAAACCCTTGTCCCTTAAAATACCATGGGAGGCCTTCAATGATTGTCTTTGTATTCATTTTTTTATACCTAGTATGGGATGCTGTAAGGTTACCATCTTCTGTCACCTTTCCTGCTTTGGGATGTAGCTAATTAGAGTCTCATTGTAATTCTCACATTTCTTCCTGTCTGCCTCCCCATGGTAACTTTTAAAAAGAAAAAAAAGAGACTTTTCTCCTGGAAACTTCCAAAATGCCTGAAAAAAACTGTCTCATGAGTTTGGACCTGATTGTGTATTTCCTTGGTGACTCAGTATATGGATGGATTCCAAGTTAGCTTAAATCATTTGGTTAGAAATTATTTGGGTTAGGAATTATGTTTAATTATGGGTTTAATTATGGGTCTTTTGTGTTAAGAATTATGTTTTGTTTATCTTTTGTATAATGGGAATGTTACATTTCCGGGTCTATTCACTGCTTTCCTTTTGAGAAGAGTTAAGCACCATCTAGTTGAAAAGGCAAATACAGAGAAGGAAAATCCGTCTAGTGACACATGACAGTTAAGATGCTTAAAGATATCAAAGAAAGTGAGCACTCTGTAAACCCTCAGACATGAAGACTACTGTTTTAGGGGTTCTATTGCTGTGCTCAAACAATGACCAAAAACAACCTCGTGAGGAAGGGGTTACAGCCTCCAGATTCTTACCTTAAAATTCTGCCCGAATTTCACTTAATGATAGAGTGTGGTGTGGAAGTTAAGCCAAAGTAAGCTCTTTCCTTCTTAGCTCATAGAGGAGTGCTGCTTACAGACTTATTCCTCATGACTTGTTCAGCCTGGTTTGTTATAGAACCCAGGAAGTACCAGCCCACGGATGGCACTGTTGACAATGAATTGGGCCCTCCACATCAATCACCAGTCAAGAAAATACTCTACAGGCACACTCAAGGGCCAGCTTGATAGGGTCATTTTCTCAGTTAAGGTCCTGTTTTACAAAAACGACTCTAGTTTGTGTCAAGCTGACTTGAAGCTAGTCATCACAGCTAGATCACCTGTAAAGATTCAAGGACAAGATTAGAATTCACTATCAACAGAAATTTACCTTAAGCAATAGTGTATGGACTTTATATACACTGTTTCATTATGTCATAAACCAAAAGGTTTTAGAAGTGTTAACTTTTAAGGTGGGTGGTGGTGGCACACATCTTTAATTCCAGCATACAGGAGGCAGAGGCAGGTGGATCTCTGTGAGTTCAAGGCCAGTCAGCTCCCCAGAGTAAGTTCCTAAGTTCCAGGATAGTCAAGGTTACACAGAGAAACACCATCTAGAAAAATAAACAAAACAACAACACCAAAAACCCCCCAAAGTATGACATTTTAATTTGTTTAATGATTTGTGAAAAAACACATCATCTCCAAAAGATACTGATATGTGATACAGGAGGAATGAGTACTTTGTATTCTTTGTGTGCAGTCCACTTACATGTGAACCGTAATGCTTTGTTGTTGAAATACTGCCTTGATTTGGTGGTACTGATCCCAATCTCAATGAAGTTTCCAGTAATAGAGTATTTGGGAAACAGGCATTAATATCTGTCTGTAAATATCATACACTGGATGGGAAAATACATCCAGAAAGATACAGGAAATACAGTCCCACTGGCATAAGGAGATGCTTTCAACTTGCCATGAATTAAAAACAAAAAAGAAAAAAAAAACTGCTGCTAGTCTCTTAACCTAGATAAAATGAAAAATAAGACATTCTCAAAGTAGATTGTCTGATACTATAAACCTTAGTAGTTTTAAAAGTCAGAAACATAGAAAAGATATTAGAATTAATTATGAGAAAACAATAAGCAAAGTTGAGAGTACCTTGGGGTAAAGTCTGAACAGAATCACAGGCTTTGCTGGTCTTGCCTCTGCCTCACAAGCGAAACTCTGATCAAAGGGAGGAGAAACAGGAAGGATATATGGCTGGTGGTGGGGGTTGGGGGAGCTGAGGCAAAGGATGTAATGGTTCACTAATGGTTTCATCTTAATCTGTAAAGCATAATTTCTAAAGAAAGAGTAAGCAGAGAATACAGACATGTCAGAAATGAAATAACAATAGCAAGAGCAAGGAAAGAAAAAACAAAGAAGGTATTAATTATCATCCTGAATATAAATGCCATAGTCAGTTAAGTAAAAGCTTTTGTTAACTTTTATTTAAGATTTGTAGCTATTGTTAAATCAATGATAATCAAGCTACAATTTGTAGAGTGACAAAGGGTAGTTATAGAGTAAAGGACTAGAGCTGTGGTTCTCAGTCTTCCTAGTGTTGTGACCCTTTAATACAGTTCCTCATGTGGTGACCCACAACCTTAAAGTTATTTTCATTGCTGCTTCATAACTGCAATCTTGCTACCGTTATGAATTATAATGTATATATCTGGTATGCAGGATATCTGTGAAACCCCCATAGGGGTCCTAACCCACAGGTTGAGAAACTCTGGACTACAGTGAAGAGAGAGCTCTCGTTAGGAAAGGGCAATAGATTAGATAATTATGGATGGATGGAAGATGGAGTGGAGGGGGGAGGGGATGAGTTGTGCAAGGGAATATGGGGAAAGACACCTAAAATTAAGGGCCATTTGATTGATAGTGTGGAACCCTAAGGGAGTAGAAACATATACGTATATCAGTCTCTCCAGGGCAGGTCTCACGTTCAGGACTAGTTGACCAACATATGATGAACGCTACAGTTTTGTTTTTGTGTATATGCTTTTATTTGGTTACAGTTTGGTAGTTTGTTTTCTTTTTAGGTGTTCTATTTTGTTTTCTTGGTTTTAGGGTTTTGTTGTTATATTAGTTTTGTTTTTTTTTTGAAAAAGAACTTACTCAATTCGGTGGTTAGGGATGGGGAGAGGAGCTGGAAAGGTTAGGGGAGGGAAAGAATGATCAAAATATATTTAAATTTAAAATTGTTTTAAATAATATATGAGAGAAAAAAGATATATAGCTATAACTATTAATAAATATTCAGTAGAGTGGAAAATTTAAACCACATCACTTTATATTTTAACAGAAGAAAAGCCAATTATTAGATTTAAAACTGGTATCAAATACCACAAAATGAGAATATTTTACTTCCTAGAAATAAATGATTTATCTAATATTAATACTATCGACCAGAATTTCATGGTGCATTTAACAATATATTTCTCAACTGCTAAATGTAAAAAAAATAAGGAAAGCTTTGTGCAGTGATTTAGAAAGCTTAGCAACATAATTGATAAACTTAGCAAGATGCCCAATATTCCTATAATTTTGAAATCAACATTTAAGAGCTTCTATTCAAGTACACATGAGGTACTCTGCCATGGTTTATAGATTCTTCAAAATATTCTGTAAGTCACCCTCTTACATCCTATCATCAGAAAGTGAAAAGAAAAACAAAACAACCAAATCAAGTATCTCAAGTTGACACAAACTAACAAAGACTGAATACCATCTTTATCATATAGAAGAGAATCTAGGATATGCTTATGAGATGGTTAAAACAATGTGTGTTTACATATCATGAATCTGACCATCTTTCCACTGCACATGCCTGTTGGTTGTCATGCCGTATAGGGCTGAGATACTAGAAAATTCCATTCCATGTCCAAAGTTGTTTTTTAATTCATGGTAATTTTTCTTGTCACTATCTTGACTTTGCCCCAGTCAGTCACCACAGTCAGCAGCTAACCATGGACTCTCGATCCAAGTTAACTAACACCTTCCCCTTGCCCATTTGCTCAGGCTTACACTTAGGAAGTTTATTAAATGATGTGAAACATGCAAAATGCATTTTTCTTGGCTCATTCCTCTGTGGTGGAGGAATAAATATGTCTGCCATCTTCCTGAGTGAACCCTCCAAATCCAGCTACTCTAGGTTCATTGCTGACTGGAGCTACCTCCCCTTCCCAAGAAGAACCAGTAAGGTTTTCCCCTGTGTTCTTGTAATTTTCACAGAAGTAACGCATGCCTAGAGAAAGCAGGCAGAACTCACGTTGCTGGAAGTTTCTTCAGAGGTGTCAGGATTCTGAGCTCTTCGACAGGGTAGGATGCAAGGTTTCTCCTCACCTATTCTTTCTCTTCCTCTCTGTAGAGTGTGTCAGAGGGGCAGTGTGTGTGTGTGTGTGTGTGTGTGTGTGTGTGTGTGTGTGTGTGTGTGTGCTGTGTGCGTGTGTGCATGTGCATTTGAGAAGCTACGCTAAAACATCACTTGACACTGGAGAATGCAATTTACAGAAATTCAAGGTTAGACTACTTCATGGTCTGAGCCTTCCTGAGTGAGTCAAGCCGTGTTGTTTTGTAGGTAGAGAAGAAACCACGAACCTCCACCCAGCAGCATTCATAGCTTTCGATTTCCTCCGATTCTGAAACTCAACAGTTTCTTTCCTGTATCTTTTTTAGTTACCATGAAAAGCCAGAGACTGTTACACTTCACTGTTGTTTTTGTTGTATTTTTTTCTTACAAATCTTGTAGGTCCAAGATTTATTCCTTTGCATGAGATGAAATTTCAAAAGGAAAAGCTGACTCACCAGGACACTTCTTTCTTTCCTGCTCAGGATGAGCCTGCAGTAGGAGAAGAACTTGGCCATGTCTGTTGTCAGCTGCACTTGAATGTGTTTGAAAGAAAACCTGAGGTAAAATCACTTTTGGCATTAGCGCACCATGCAGCAGTTTCTCCTTTATTAATTCCCAAGCCTTGAACGTCCCAGACTATAATGTTGCTATGAATATACCACCTGAAACTCCAATCAAGAAAAAGCACTGTGGCATCAGCCTTCCTCTTGCCTGTAATGACAGCGACCCTTTTCAGCAATAAAGGTAATCACTATGGGAAAACGACTTCCTTCTGGTCAAAAGAATCTGATTTCCACCTCTGGTCCTTGGTGGAGACGGATAGTCTAATTAGTTCTGAAGTTTAGAGCACTACATACTATTGCTGCCGTTCTTAAAATTCATCTGGGTCTTCAATCTTCAGCTGGGAGAATGGTTTTCAGGCCGAGCTGAAAAGAAGCTAAGGAGATGGCAGGAGTAATTATCTCCTAAATGAAATAACAAACTTGCACTTCCTAGACGTCCCTTCACTCACAAACCACTTACAGAGCTTGTCCCACATAACACTACTGAACTGACTCACTGCTCCAAGTTCGAACATTAAAAATCACACATTTCCCTTTTCTTGCTTTCTATTTTTTTTTCTTTCTGATACTGTCTCGCTACCTAACCAGGTTTACTTGAATATATGGGAGTTCTCGTTTTCTCTGAAGCCTGCCTTCCCTACTGCCATGTTGCTGCTCGCTGGCTTCCACTACCAAGCATGCTTACATGGACACAGAAAGGCATGGCTCTCGCTCTTAATCTTGCCACTGCAGGCATTTACTGAGATTACACCTTCTATGCCTTATTATTTTTCTTTAGAAGTGTAAGAGAATTGTCCTTGAACTGCTTTTGGTGTTCATTTCAAAATTCTTTCACTGACATACTTAAGAAATCTAAAGAGAACCCTGATTTCCATGGTAGCAGCAATATACATTGAGGAATAAAAACACAAATATTAATAAGGCAATTTGACAACAGGCTGTTTTCAACAATAACAACAGCAAAATCAACAGCAGTAGGTCTTGCCTTTCCAGGGCCTATCACCTCTCCAGCCATGGACGGCGTTTTGAACGCGTACACTGTACCAGACATGGATACCTTCCTGTGTTCCAGAACTCAGATACGTCCAGAAAGCTATTGATTAGCCCTTTAACATTTGTGCCACTATTATACTGGTGATTCTAGCCTATGAATAATGAAAAAAATGCAGTAGTTCTGCTGGTCTTTCCTACTACTTGGAGCAGAATAATGACAAAGCATAGGCTGGGGCTGGAGAACAGAGTGTGTCTTCATGTAGACATTAGGGTGATACAAACCAGGTCTTATCTACTACATACAGGTAGATTTGGTACTGTTATTCCATCTTCATGACATACTATGCAGGGAATATGTGAGTAGATAAAAATCCATATTTATTGTACTTACTTGTCTCTACACATAACTGTTATGAACAAGACATAGTATCTTTGTCTACTTTGTGTTTTCATACTCTAAATTCATAGACAGAATGGTTTACAAGTAAAAGATATTGATTCTTGTAGCCTTGGATGTTGGGAAACAATTAGATGATGCTTTCTTGCTGTATACATGTCAACAATGTTTGGGGGCTGGTTAAGGCATTTCTCAAGTTGTTGGCATCTTAACTAATTGAAACATAAGCTCACGTAAATTGCAAAGAGCAGGAAAACCTTAGTCAAAGCCAAGCAATAGCACAGATGGGAAAGCAACATGTTGTCAGGAGGATTGAGAGGCTGTATTTGGGAAGATGCTCAAGTGATCAAATTTTTGTTTGGGGATTACTTAAAGGTAATATAAAGTATTTTCAATTAAAAGTAACTTCAGGTAACTTTAAAGTATTTTAAAAATAATAAAAAAAGATGTAATGAAGTCAACAGAAAGCTGGGGTGGGTTGTGATACCTGAAGAGTTGGAGGCAGGAAAGTGTTAGGTGGAAGTGATGTGAACACAGTAGTCATATAGAATCCACAAAACAATAAAAAAGAATAAGTAAAGGATGGCGTGTCTTAACATTAAGAGCTGACTTATGTGCCTTGTTTTTCTAAGTATTTATATGACTTTTTCTGTACTTAGATCTTTATGAACATCCTTTCCGTCGTGTCCAGATTTTCAGAAGAAGGACTTTTGCGAAGCTCCCATAACTGAATCAGAATTGAGGTGTCTTGTATGAGCCCTGATGACCCTGAAGAAAAAAAATAATGAATTTGTATAAGTTGTGAAATAGTTATCCACAAACATCTGTCTTTATCTGTATTGACTGCCAGCATGACTCATTCACGTCTCTCTTCTCATTCTTGCCTCACCTTGGATTTTACCCAGGGAATCAGCTCTCTTTCTTTGCTGTGAACTATGGAAGTAACTGTTCACTCCTCCCCAGCTTGAGGACAGCTGGCGGGGCAGGGTATGCTGTCACTGAGCCACAGGACAGAGGAAAGGGCTACAGTCCCTAAGACAAGGGTTGAGTGGCAGGTTCTCATTGGGCTGGAGGGTGGGAGGAAAGTACAGAAAGCATGTCTGTGTGAGGAATGTTTGAATGATGGTTCTGAGAACTAGGGAGATGCAACTTATTTGAGAAATGAAAGACGTCATTAGGAGCATATATTCTTGCTATTCATTGCTGGTATAGTACAGATCAAAAAAATAAAGTCAGATGACATTAGATTATCTTCAAAATAAATGAAGTAATCATAAAGTTTTGAAGATAATAAAATAATTTAGGAGATGGAAAGATGGCTCAGGGCTTAAGAGGGCTGACTGCTCTTCCAGCGGTCCTGGGTTCAAGTCCCAGTACCCACATGGAAGCTCACAACTGTAACTCCAGGATCCAACACCCTCACACTGACATACAGACAGGCAAAACACCAATACAATAAAAATAAATTAAAAAATAAGAGCTGGCCTTGAAATAAAAGATTTAAAAATTTTAACTGCATTATTAGTTGATTGAATGGCAGCTCAAAGTGCATTATGTAACTTTTAAAGCATCTGGAAAAGAAAGATACATGTCATGTGATTAAATCTTATAGGAAAATGCTGTTCTGCATTATGCGCAACAAAAGGCAAAATTAAAAAGGAATAGATACTGCAGTGTGACATATGAGAATGATTTCACATAGTTAAAGCTTGTTTTTAGATTTTTTTCGTATGTGGATATTTTCCTACATTATAAAAAATGGTGTTATCAGCTCAATTCAAAATAAATAATAATAACTGGTGGTTGATTCTGATTGGCCATGTGTTTTTATATTCCTTTTGCTCTAACATAACACTTTGTTTATATATGTAAGAAAAAAATAGAAATGACAGCCAAAATAAAACAAAGATAAATGAATGACTAATTGTATTCTAGATAAAACAGAGTTGGCTAGGTGCTCAATGAATCATAGATTTTAGTACATGAGTATTAAAATGAACTTAGGGCATGCTCTCAAAATATATATTTAATCAAAATTAGTGATTTAGGTAAATAAAAGGATGTACATCATCCGGTCAATCATCACCCTGTATGGTGTTACTGGAAGCGCTTGTGAGTCCTGGAGACAACGGGAAGATGCTAGAGGCACTGAAAGAGCCTGGGAATGGCAGGAGGGTAAGCTAAAGGTGCCCTGAAAGAACGGACTATACAGTCAGAGTGCCATGGAATGGGGATGTAGATCAATTGGTGGAGTTCCCGAGAAGCATTCACAAAACCCAGTCAAGACTCACTCACCCATCTGACTAGATGCAAGTCTTTTAAATTGCCATGTTTTAATCATGGTAAAATAAAACTACCACATACACAGGAAACATTTGTATATAAGGTGATAAATCTATTTAGGAATTTTAAATATGCTTTTCTAAACTTCCAAGAGGTTAAAAATTTGAAATTCTTAATTCTGCTCTAGAAGTAACAGGTGAGCCAGTTGGTGGTGGCATATGCCTTAATACCAGCATTTGGGAGCCAGAAGCAGGTGGATCTCTGTGAGTTTGAAGACAGCCTGGTCTACAAAGTGAGTGTCAGGACAGGCTCCAAAGCTACACAGAGAAACCCTGTCTTGAAAAACAAAAAGCAAAACAAAACAAAAAAGACAAAACAAAACAAAAGTAACAGGTAAGTTACTCAAAAACTCAAAAGCACTTACAAATAATTGTGATGTCTGTCATTCCTGGTTTATTTTTGCATATTGATGATCCCTTGTGGTTCAAGTCTGATAAAATACAAAACTTAGAAAATAGCTTTACCACACTGCTGTCATCCAAACTAAAATTTCATCAAGGATTATACATGTTTATAATTATATTAGGAGCACTGCTTAAAAGCACAAGTAGTTAGATATGCCAAGCGCTGCTTATTTCAAATAATGTTACTGTAATTGTTAAAAAGAATTGCATGTTTGTCACCTAGAGAGTCCTGATATATGGTTGTCATACAATAAGATAACCATACTTTGCAAATTGTATTCTTCCCTTTATGAATGAAAAAGGACTTAAATACCTTATTTCTGGATATTCCAGCCACAGAGAGCAATATATCCTTTTCCCTTCTATGTTTTTGAAGAGAATTTTTACTCTCTATTTTTTTCTGGATGACAGCACATCCTCAGATGCTCATACCATCGATGCTCCAGCTACCCTCGGAATACAAACTACAGTCTACACTTATTTATTAGAATTGTG